GCTTATGGGAACAACGTGCAACTTTACACGTTTTTAAACGTGTACTAGGGGAATCAGGAAATTATTTTCTTAAATTCTTTGTTTGCCAAAAAAAACAAGAAAAAAAGCTAGCTTCGGCCAGCCGAAGCTTATATACCCTTGCAGACCATTCCTATTAACTTACAAATCGCAAAAACTTTAAATTTCGTATTATTTTAATATTTTTTTTTTATCCTTCCCTATTGCAGCTACATAATATAGTCGTCCGATTTTTGTTAAATTTAATTTAAAAGTATAAGAGAATACAATAAAAACCAACGGAGCTATAATTTGTTTCCAATTAATTTCCCATTAATTTTTCGATCGTTCCTATGGCAGCTATATGATATAGTCGTCCGATTTTGATAAAATGAAAATTGAAATTCGGAAATATTTAAAAAGAGTCATGTTCTAAAGTAGAAGAGAATACAATAAAAACCAAAAAAGCTAAAATTTATTTCTGTGTAACTTTCCCATTAATTTTCCGATCGTTCCTAAAATATCGTTTTAAAATATTTTATTCGAAATTCTGTAATATTTAAAAAATAATATTTTTAAGAGTAGAAGGTTTTATTTCAAAAAACACCGAAGCTAGAATTTTTTTAACGTTTCCTTCCTATGGGAGCTATAAGATATAGTTATCCGATCCGGTTGGTTCCGACTTATATACTACCTGCAATAGAAAGAAGACTTTTGGGAAAGTTTCATCACGATAGCTTCAAAACTGAGAGACTAGTTTGCGTAGAAACGGACGGACAGACGGACAGACGGACGGACAGACGGACATGGCTAGATCGATTCGTCTAGTGATGCTGATCAAGAATATATATACTTTATGGGGTCGGAAACGTCTCCTTCACTGCGTTGCAAACTTCTGACTGAAATCATAATACCCTCTGCAAGGGTATAATGAATTTTAATTATTTTAAATTTCCTATAGTGGTTTTGAAAGTCTTCTTCATCCTATAAAATAAACTTAACTATCCAAGATTGTCCATCTCATAACCAACTTAATTTACCCGAAGAAAAATTTTTGTTCCTTTTTATCATTTCCGAGATTTTTAATTTTTTCCCCTAAATTTCGTCACCCTATGCTTAGGGTAAATTCGCACCTATTTTAAATATATATTTTTTTATTTGACGAGCAGGCTAACGAACAGACTACCGGCAGCAGCAACAAATATGGGCGGTTCTTTTACAAACCGAACACCTTTTATTGGCTCACATTTTTGATTTGCCTGAAACTTTTTTTACATGTACTATTCAGAAAATAAGTAAACACGTGTATTTGACCGAAAAAAAAATATTTTTTTTGTTAGAATTTTTTTTAATTGTGCCAAAAATTGTCAAATTTAAAAAAGTACCCTCTCATTGAAAATCTGTATCTGCGGTTATATGAATCCAATTGACTTCATGTCTTTTGCATTAATTCCTCTAATACCTCTCCTTTCAAAATCAAGTAAAAAGTCATTTTTTAATCAATTAAAAACTTACAATTATTTATTTAACCGTCTATTTAAAAAACAATAATTTTAAAATTTTTGTATTTATTATTTTTCTGTATTATGTAATTTATTAAACATTTTTAAATATTTTTTTAATTTAAAAAAAAAAAATATATTATAAAAAATAAAACAATTTAAAATTTTATAAATTTTTTTAAGAAATTAAAAAAAATATTTAAAAATGTTTAATAAATTACATAATAGAGAAAAATAATAAATTCAAAAATTTTAAAATTATTGTTTTTTAAATAGACGGTTAAATAAATAATTGTAAGTTTTTAATTGATTAAAAACTGACTTTTTACTTTTTGTCATTCAGAAATTGTCAAAAGACTTAAAACTTAACTTTTAATCATTAACAATTGTTAAGGGACTAGTAAACAATGAGAAAACATGAATTCCATAAGGATCCGATAAGAGTGAGAGAGTTAATCTACATGCTGCGACGTTTTTTCATAGAAAAAAGCCGAGGTCTTGCTAAAACAAATTCGATATTTTAAAAACTAAAAGTGGCTCCAACTTTTTACAAAAACCGATTGTAACTAACAATATGGCGCAAGTATTAAAATAAAATTTTTTTTTTTTTTTGGGGGCAATTTTTAAAAAATTTTTTAAATCTTAATTTGTTTTTATTTTTAAAAAAATTAAAAACTTTTTTTTTACTAAATTTTATTTTGAAAGGAGAGGTTTTAGAGAAATTAATGCAAAAGACATGAAGTCAATTGGATTCATATAACCGGAGATACAGATTTTCAATGAGAGGGTACTTTTTCAAATTTGACAATTTTTGGCACACTTAATAAAATTCTAACTAAAAAAATAATTTTTTTTCGGTCAAATCCTGATACACGTGTTTACTTATTTGCCGAATAGTACGTGTAAAAAAAGTTTCAGGCAAATCAAAAATGTGAAATTTTTTTTTTGGCCAAATCTGTTTGGTTTGTAAAAGAACGGCCCATATAGGACGTCAACAAAAATGGTACGCTTGATCAGTGTAGCATACTTACAGGCGTAAAGTTCCCTACATTTTCAGGTGACGAAATTGCCCTAGTGGTGTGGCGATTTTACCCCTCTATGTGGTGAGATTGCCCCAGTATATTGGTTTTACTTTTTAATTTTTTATAAATGACCAAGGTTATTAAAAAAATAGGGGAATGTCACATTTTAAAGCTTGGTGCTAACCGCATTCAACAATAAAAATATAAATATGATAACGTGTCTCAAGATGGACCAAATATAGCTTTGAAAAAATGCTGACGAAATTACCCCACTCTCCCCTACTTCTACGAGGTACCCGAGTTTGAAGAAAATCTAAAACCTCATATGCGCAGTTGAGAAATTCTTAGCCCACTTTAAACACTTTGCACGTTGCACAGTGGGGCGAAAAAGCCAAAAGTCTGCCTTAAATCAGCGGAGCCCTATATCGAATATCTTTTGATGGGGCATTGTTGAAGGCAATTAAATATGTAAAAAAAAACATCATAAGGTGAATTTTTTTAGTGAAATTTTTTTGTTGTAGAAAATTTTTAAGAAAAAAAAAATTGTTTTTTTAAGAAAAAAAATATAAATAAATTACTTATAGGGTTCTAAGTTTCCCAATATTTTTTTTTAATTTAACTTGATTTTTGAAAAGAAAAATTATTCAAATCGGTCAACTATATCTTATAGCTGCCATATAAACGCTTATTACAAAGGGGAATGTCTCGGTTCTATTTCAATATTGGTTCATATAAATTGGGATTAAGTCATTATTTATCATTTTAGCTCTATGCTTACCTTTTTTTTTAATTGGTCAATGATATCTTAAAGATGTCATAAAATCAATCAAGGAAATATAGCATATTTAAAAAAAAAAACTGGTAGAAACCGGTATTTACTTCATATATGTATTTTTAGTAAAATAACATAATTTAAAATTTTAAACCCAAATTTGTTTATTAATTTATCATTATCTTCATCAATACCTTCACATAAGTAAAATATCTTCATGATGTTAGAGCGCGCGAATGAACCAGGGCTGACGATATTTCAAATTATGAACATTTCCTGCTAACTTAAACTGCGGTTTTCTCAGAAGAGGCACAAAAGGGCAGGCTAATTTTTTCAAAATATGTAGTTAAATATCTAAACTTTTTTTAAAAAAGAAATTAAACGGGGATCTAGGGTGTAACACTACTTTACGTCCAAGGATATCCAAAAAATTCCTTTTTTTTGGACCACTTTTAAAAAATTAAAAAAAAAAGTAATTATGTATCTAAAATTTTTATTTTTTTTTTTAATATTTTAAGAATTGGTTGCTCTTAAAATTTCAATCGTTACATATACAACTTAGGCCCTTGGGCGCTTTCAGAAAAATTTCAAAGATGTGTAAAAATACCTTTTTTTCTTATTGGCTAAAATTATATTTCGAAAAATCCACTTTATAAATCTGTAGTGGGAGAACCATTCAACACAGATCACTCTTTCCTTTTGATGTGTATAGAGAATTCAATTGTTTTTAAAGTTGCATTGCAACATTTTGGAAAATCTTAAAAAAAAAAACCATTTTGGCAGGCTTTTTGTTCTAGGCGCCCCACAGTGCGTTGTTGGGAAACTTTGGAGTAAAATTAGCGCGCTTTTTTCTTCGATATGAGTGCATTAATCTATAGACTTTTATGAACTACAACTAGTTATCGGTGGTGCGTAAAATTTTTTTTAAATTGTTCTATAAATTTCATTTATTTTAGTATTCAAAATATTGGTTTTTAAACTAGTAACTTTTAATATTAGCATTTATGCCAAAACAACGCTATCTGATAGTCGGGGACTCAATATAGCAAAAATATGTGTCTGAGGGAAAAAATTCGAAAAGATATCCTCAATAGACCGCGAGACGTTAAGAAATTCCACTTTAGTTATTGGTTTGGTATTTTTTTTTAAAGTAAATTTTTAAGATCCATTGTGAATCCTACTTTATAGATTAATGACCTGTACTTATGTCTATCGTTAAAAGAATATTTCAGTATTCTTTAGCTCTAAAGAACTTAACATTTAAAGATTTACGAAATATTTTTAATTGCCTTCATAATACCAATTATTGAATTAATGATACTTTATTTCAAGTTCTCGAGCAGTTTTAGTAAACTGTGTTGATTGACTAGTTTGTTTTGTTGTTGTAAGCTAGCCTAGTCTCTAAAGTTTTTAGAGTATCAAATTATAGCAATTTAATAATTAAAGAAGGGAAATGAAAATCGTGTCTCCTTGTCCCCAGTTCCGCTTTATTAGAACAATTAAAGAAATTAAAAGTTTTGGGGCAAATGCCGGATCCAAAAGATAACGGATGCCATTAAATTACCTTCCCATATGATTCACGGTTGCCGCACACGATACAATAGTATGGGCCTCATCAATTTATCGAAAACCAGATAAGGGAGGAGATACTCGTATTGTGACAAAGGGCTTCATATAAAAGACAGTCGACTTGCGAAACAGTCATTAAAGCTTATTGGTCTGTACAAGACTTATAATTGTGCAAGCTTAGGCAGTTGAAAAGAAGGACCAAAGAGGAATATTTTCTAGTAGAATGAAATTTGTCATAGGTAAGTAACAGATAAATTTGTGCACTTTCACTCGAAGGTGTTAACCATCACATCCTTGCAGTAATTGCCTGCGTGGCCCTTTCGGTGGTCGGTATCAATGCCGCCAGCGTGCAGCCAGCTGCGGGAACGATCAACAACCAACTCTATCGGCGTTACGTGTGCGCTCAGAAATCCAATGGATTCCGCGCTCTGGTTCCTGGCAGTTGCTCCCAGTACTACGAGTGTCAGTCGGGAGTGGCTCTTGTTAACACTTGCTCACGCTTTTTCGATGCTAAGGTCCAGGGATGTGTCAACTACAACACCGGTTGCATACAGGCTCAACCGGCCTCGTCGGGCCAAACACCTGTAGGAAGCTCTAACTCGGCAGTGCCTTGTGCTCAGGAAACAACTACATCATGCCCGCCAACAGAGACTACAACCACCCCCTGTGTGTCAGAGACCACAACACAATGTGTTCCAGATACTACAACAACCTGTGCGTTAGAGACCACTACACCCTGTGTTCCAGAAACCACTACGACCTGTGAACCAGAAACAACAACAACCTGTAAGCCAGAAACTACCACAACATGTGTGGAAAAAACCACAACAACCTGTGTACCGGATACCACAACAACCTCAGTGCCTGACATCACAACAACATGTGTGGAAAAAACCACAACAACCTGTGTGCCAGAAACTACAACTACCTCTGCATCCGAGATCACAACAACTTGTGTGAAAAGAACCACAACAACCTGTGTTCCAGAAACTACAACAACCTCTGTGCTCGAGACCACAACAACCTGTGTTCCAGAAACTACAACAACCTTTGTTGAAAAAACCACAACAACCTGTGTTCCAGACACTACAACAACCTTAGTTGAAAAAACAACAACAACCTGTGTTCCAGAATCTACAACAACCTGTGTTGAAAAAACCACAACAACCTGTGTAGCAGAAACTACAACAACCTCTGTGCTCGAGACCACAACAACTTGCGTAAAAAAAAGCACAACAACCTGTGTGCCAGAAACTACAACCACCTCTGTGCCTGAGACTACAACATCCTGTGTTCCAGAATCTACAACAACCTGTGTTGAAAAAACCACAACAACCTGTGTACCAGAAACTACAACAACCTCTGTGCTCGAGACCACAACAACCTGTGTTCCAGAAACTACAACAACCTGTGTTGAAAAAACCACAACAACCTGTATACTAGAAACTACAACAACCTCTGCGCTTGAGACCACAACAACCTGTGTTCCTGAAACTACAACAACCTGTGTTGAAAAAACCACAACAACCTGTGTACCAGAGACTACAACAACCTGTGCGCCAGAAACCACAACAGCCTGTGTACTAGAAACGACAACACCCTGTGTACCAGAGACCACAACAATTTGTGCTGACGAAACTACAACTGTCTGCAGCGAAACGTCCGATGTTTCAAAGGCTAAGCCTTCCTCCGTGAAAGTGCGACCAGCTAGGCCTGTGCGGCCTGCCGCGCGTCCCGTATTGGAAACTAATGAGTTGGTGGCTCCACAAACCCATGAGCTGAGCATTTCCACCTATACGAAGTACGTGTGCCGCAATAAGCCCAACGGCTTTATGCTAGCTTCGCTGAAGAGCTGCTCCGACTACTATATCTGCCGATATGGAAAACCTCTGTTGGTTAGCTGCGGTGACAAGTACTTCAACGGTCTCAAGGGCATTTGCGATCTGCCAGAAAACACGCGATGCGTCCAGGCTCAAGCCTAACGATATATGATGACCACAGGATTGGCATAGCCTATAAAATAGTCCATAAGAGCACTTCTTGACCCCACCTTAAAATTTGTGCCCGAATGATCATATTCAGCTTTTTCATTTATAAAAATTCCAAAAGATGCAATTGCTAATACATGCGTTAAAAAATTATCGAATTTTTAGTCATTTTTTGGGAGGAATGGCTTCCGGGTAGAGATTTGTTTATAAACATTTATAACCATAAGAGAGAAGTCGGAGAAGCGGTCACATCTTCAAATCAAATACCTTGGCGTCACGCTTGGCACACGGCTAAACTAAAAAGAGCACCTACAGAAAGTTCACTAGAAGGCTATCGGCGTCACTGCGGCATTATCACGTATGATGCTAAACCACAGAGGAGCGGAATCATCAAGCCGGAGACTGCTCTCCAGTGTAGCAAAGTCGTCCATTCTAATCTGGGCGACGAGCAAAAAAACCTACCTGAGTAAGATAATCCGTGACTATAGGCTGAAGCACACCGAGTGAGCTCAGCTTTTTGAGACACGAGACAGGCAGCAAAGTCACAACCGGATCGCAGCCTGGCGAAACTCAGAGCGAAAACGAAAGCCCTCGAAAGCTGGCACCGTCTTATTCCACCCGTAGCAAAGTCTAGGCTGCTTCAAGGAGTACCGCTGCCGCTTCGGCAAAGAAGCAAGCCCTTTGTGGCATCTTGCGTTAGGGCTGGAGAAGCACGTAGTAAAGCGAAAGAGGTCCTGGAATCCCAAATCAAGGCTGAAGACTGTCGATGGAAATTGTGTGCTAGATGAGGCGCCTACACATAAAAAAACAAGAGAGAACGCTATAATCGGGTTGGTGTCCCGACTATTCGGGTATTACTTAGCTCGGGTTCGTGTCCCGACTATAATCGTAGCTCAGCTAAAGGGAGTGCGAGGGAGATAGATATATGTAGGTATTTTGATTGCGTGTAACTTTTTAATGAATGGTCCGATTTAAAAAATGTCTTCTACATTTCGATAGGTATAAATATACACAACAAAATTGTATTTAGACTTCTCGGAAATCTTTAAAGATGTGGGCGCAGGACACATTTTAAAATCGTTAGTGGGTGATTGTGGGCGTTAGAGGGGGTGTGGCGCTCGGCTGAAATAAACTTGCGCTGCGTAGGAGGCCCAAGAATATGTGTGTTTGCAGTTTCCGAGAACTGAGCGTTCATACGGACAGACAGACAGACGGACAGACGGACAGACAGACGGACAGACAGACGGACAGACGGGCATGGCTAGATCGACCCGGCTAGTGACCCTGATCAAGAATATATATACATTATGGGGTCGGAAACGCTTCCTTTTAGCTGTTACAGACTTTTGCACGAATGCAATATACCCTTTTACTCTACGAGTAACGGGTATAAAAAACTGGGTAAAATCAACTTTAATAATTGTCAAACAGGCCCCAACCATAAAAATGGTCAATTCTACTAAGTAAATTGTAACTCTTACGTAAGGGTTACTATAAACAAGAAAGGAAGCTAGCTTCGGCCAGCCGAAGCTTATATACCCTTGCAGATCATTCCTATTAATTAACAAATCGCAAAAATGTTCAATTTTCTAATATTTCTCATTAATTTTCCGATCGTTCCTATGGCAGCTATATGATATAGTCGTCCGATTTTGATTAAATTAAAATTGAAATTCGGAAATATTTAAAAAGAGTCATATCCTAGAGTAGAAGACAATACAATAAAAACCAAAGAAGCTAGAATTTATTTCCTATTACTTTTCCATTAATTTTCCGATCATTCCTATGGCAGCTATATGATATAGTCGTCCGATTTTGATTAAATTAAAATTGAAATTCGGAAATATTTAAAAAGAGTCATATCCTAGAGTAGAAGATAATACAATAAAAACCAAAGAAGCTAGAATTTATTTCCTATTTCTTTTCCATTAATTTTCCGATCGTTCCTATGGCAGCTATATGATATAGTAGTCCGATTTTTTAAATTATTAATTCGAAATTCAGAAATATTTAAAAAATAACATCCCCAAAAGTAGAAGGTAATATTTCAAAAAACACCGAAGCTAGAATTTTTTAAAGTTTTTTTTTCCGATTGTTCCTATGGGAGCTATAAGATATAGTTGTCCGATCCGGTCGGCTCCGACATATATACTACCTGCAATAGAAAGAAGACTTTTGGGAAAGTTTCATCCCGATAGCTCAAAAACTGAGAGACTAGTTTGCGTAGAAACAGACAGACGGACAGACGGACAGACGGACAGATGGACAGACGGACAGACGGACAGACGGACATGGCTAGATCGACTCGTCTAGTGATGCTGATCAAGAATATATGGGACGCTCCATATCAACCCGGCCACCCCCCTTTTTTTTTAATTTTCTATGTAGACAGTACCACATTGATTGCAAAGCTTCTTGCTTCCAATATTTTACCTCATACCCATTTTTTCAATGTTACCACTCTTTCGCCGTATAATCGCGTTGAAAAGAAAACACAAAATCATTTTTATCCTGCGAACGGAAGAAACAATTAGCATGGTTCAAAAGCAGAAAAATCTGTCTTCCCATGGCCGATTACGAGAAAAAAAATAGATTTTATTGGACCGTAGATGACCAAGCGATAACGTTTTTAAAGTCTAAAAGTAGGATTTCGTCCAAAGGGCCAGTCTGCAAAAATACCATTATATTTTTCTCAGAAAGCCCCATGTTTAACGGATTTTATGCCACTGGTTTCAAAGTGGGATCTCTCTTGAGGAATTAGCTATGAATTCTTTTCATTGATTTGGTAATTTTTTTCAAAGCATACACGATTTTTTTATATTACTTATTAGCTTTTTCTGACAGTTAACGACTACAAAAACGTACAAAAGAATTCATAGCTAATTCCTCAAGAGAGATCCCACTTTGAAACCAGTGGCATAAAATCCGTTAAAACTCGGGCCTTTTGAGAAAAATATAATGGTATTTTTGCAGACTGGCCCTTTAGACGAAATCCTACTTTTAGACTTTAAAAACGCTATCGTTTGGTCATCTACGGTCTTAAAAAATCTATTATTTTTCTCGTAATCGGCCATCGAAAGACAGATTTTTCTGCTTTTGAACTATGCTGATTGTGCCTTTCGTTCGCAGGTTAAAAATGATTTTGTGTTTTCTTTTCAGCGCGAATATACGGCGAAAGAGTGGTAACATTGAAAAAATGGGTATGAGGTAAAATATTGGAAGCAAGGGGCTTTGCAATCAATGTGGTACTGTCCACATACAAAAAAAATCAAAAAAGGGGGTGGCCGGGTTGATATGGAACGTCCCATATATACTTTATGGGGTCGGAAACGCCTCCTTCACAGCGTTGCAAACTTCTGACTAAAATCATAATACCTTCTGCAAGGGTATAAAAATAAATATGCAACTGTAAAAAAGGGTAGAATGTGCCCGAACCATAAATTGTAGTTAACTTACTCTTTTTAAAGTAGGTAAATATACAATTTCTAGTTATATTACATTAATTTATAAGTAATATTAAAAAGGTAGTTGTCCAATTACCTTTTCCAAAAGTGACTTTATCCTACACCTTATAAAGGTACGGGTTGCACTTGACTTCCAGATAGTGTGGAAGTATATTAAAGACTTAGGGCCGTTTTCTCGTCCGCCTGTTAAATTTAAAGTAGGGTTATTTGATATATTGATTTCCCATACGATTTCAAGGTTTTAACTACACTTTAAATTTAACAAACGGACGAGAAAACGGCCCTTAAGACAGAAAGTAAGTCTTAATGACTCAGAATCTGACTTGGGCTTGGTTCATGAAGGGCTAGAACCATGAAGGGCTGGAACCAAATTAATGCATACTTTTATGTTAAAGAATTTACGTTAAGGTAACTATTGTTCATAGTTAAAGAACAATTTAAAATAGTTTCAAGCAGGGATCGTAAATAAGAGTTAACCTATTTAAAAAATTGATATATAACTCTTATTTTTCAATTTTTATTATAAAAGTTGACAAATAACTCTTACGCTTCAATTTTAATTATAAAAATCAACAAATAAGAGTTATTTGTCAACTTTTATAATAAAAATTGGAAATAAAGATTGAATCGAAATAACTCTTGAACTAAGAGGTGCATTGGAGAGAGAGAGTGTAGGGTAAGGTGACGAACGATTCGTATTTTGAATGTAACTTTTCTAAAAGCTTAGTTTTTATACTGAGTCCAATTCAGCTCCCTTTAACCTATACTTAAACTAACAACAGTGTAACGAACTGTTTTCTACTGTTTGATCGCTACGTAAACGCCGCGACTAGCTCAGAGATATTGTGTGTTCGTCCCACCAAATTTGTATTGCGTGACTGCCCGTGACCCAAGAAAATGCAGAGATATCCGATTGGGACAAATCGGAAAACTTTATTTAGTTTTTCTTTTCGCTGGAATTGGTTTCTTCGTCAGCTGGCTGTAGCGGCTTGTCGGGTCGGCGACGTGCCTTCCTCGGCTCAAGATTCCCTTCGTACGATTCTCTGCGGCGCTCCTCGACGGCGTCGCTGCTCTCGTATCTCTTCGTGCTACTGGTGGACTCCTGCGGCGTCGTTCTCCAACGGCGGCTTTCCAGTTCCACCCGGCTTGTAGGACTCAAAAGTCTGCACAACCTTCCTTTCGGGTCCGACCAGAATGATCCTGGGACCACCTGTGTCGTCGTATTCCCTGAGGTCGGTCTGGCTCTAGCCTGAGCAACAAATGGCCCGACAGGTCAAATCCTAGGATTCAGCCTTATCGTCAGTCCACCGTAACCCCGACGCCTGGCACAAACTCTTGATCCGCGCTTACCCTGCCGGTAGCTCGTCCTTCTCTAGCTCGTCCTTCTCTCGACTCTGCTCCTGTCCAGCACTCGTCTCCACTTCAATCTCTGCGTCCTGCAGATCTCACCGTTGCAGTCTCAGCCTTGGCCTAGCGTCTTGACTCTGGTATCTTGATCTGGGCGTTGAGCACTCGGTTACTCGGTACTCTCACGGTCACGCACTCGATTGAATCCTCGCACTTGAATCTTGATATTGGGTTGTCTCACTTGTACTTTCGCTCGCGTATCTTGGTTGTCTGTCGTACTCCGGCTGCCAGCGTCGCGTCTTCCGACCGACACGTCTCCTGCCTCCTGGCTGCATGAACTGC